AGGCTGCAAGGAGAGGATCCTGATTCATATATTGAGTGTAAGCGTGACATCACGTATTGGCTAATAAATAGTAACAAATGGGAGGTGGACATGCCTTGTATATCTTTAACCCAATAATATTGAAGATAAATTGAAATAGAACAGCTGTAATTTAGTAAGCTTCTTTTAACTAAAAGTGAATCCTTAGCATAATTATATCAAATAAATTATGAAAAAATTATTTAATTCAATCGTGAAATTTAATGATAAACTATTAAATATAAATTTGAGTTTTTTTTTTTTTTAAATAATTAATATCAAATTCATGTATTTCAAATCCACATCTATCCAACCGGAATCTTAAAACGCACTAATAGCACATCTGAGTTTTATATGTATAATATATTAATGCATGTGTGCGCGCGTACACACACTTGATTTGGGCGTTTTATCTACTTTTTATATTTGTGCTCTCAAGTGTTTTGACTATGGTTAATTTAGTTGAATCATAATTAATCCGTAATTCTTCTGTCAGAAGGTGGCATCAGCATCATAGTGAACTATACATGATATATCAATTGTAGAAAGAAATATGAAAAAAAAAATAAAAAATTAAAATAAAATACATGATAGTTATTTATTATTAGATATATACTCAATTGTTTTGGGTTAAAAGGTACACAGTAAGCAGATGGGATTTTTACCAACTGATCTCAATAATTGAATCTATTATCTATTAGGTCATAACTTTTTATCTCATGCACCAAAAAGTTCTGTTATATATTTTTTTTATGCCGATTTTGCCCCTGCTACCAGCTGTTAAAAATCCCTATTTAAATCATCCTAAATACCTTCTAAATCTTTAATTGTTTATAATATTTATTACTCATTAATTTGTTCAATTTGTATTAACTTCTCTCTTGATCATTTTTCCAAAACTCTTCTTCTTTCTTATCTCTCTCTCTCTCTCTCTCTCTAGAAAATACCACCATTGTAGCTATGGCTATGGCCATGGCCATCCACCCACAGCCACCATCGTTGTTCATCACTAACCACCGTCACCTCCACCGATCACCACCACCACCACCACCACCTTCGCCGGCCACTGCCACTACCATTGTTCACGAACCATCTCCACCGTCGCTGATCTATACTTCACTATCTCTCAACCATTTGACTCGCTCACCTAACGTTGTCGTCTTCCTTCCTCTATGTCATTACCGTATGTCTTCCTCCATCTTTCATCTACCATCATCGTTGTTCTTCTTCAATCATCAATCTGCCATCTTCGACGTCGAACTTCACCAATAACTTCAAATCTAGTTGTTTTCAATGTCAATCTACCATCTTCGACACCAATCTGGTGTTTTACATCGTCACTGATAAAATCGAGTCTCTTTTTATAGTGTGGTGGTGAAAATCTACATTTGTAAAACATGTTGAACTAATCTGATAAATTTATCACTTAATTCAGTGATAAATTTATCACTGGTTTGTTTAATATGTTGTGGACTATTGCTGTTGGAATCTTCATATTAATATAACGATAAATTTATCACTGATTTTTGTTCATGTTATATTCATCACCTCTCTCTTCCTCACTCCTCTCTCTCTTTTTATTTCTCTTAAACCAAATTTGTTGTGTCAGTGATAAATATATATCACCGATATATTTCTTTGAATCTGGTGTTGATTTGTGACGATGATGACAAGCTTTTTTTTATTTTATTTTTATTTTTAAAATCTTTTAACAAACAACTATTAAAAAATTTATCAGTGAATGTGTTTATCACTGTTAAATTTATTACTGAATATGTCTTTGAATCTTGTATTAATTTGTGATAATGATGATGAGATTTTCTTTTCGTAAGTTTTTAACAAACAGACAGTGATAAATTTATCATTTTGTCACTAGAGAGAGATGAATATGCCGTATGATTAATCTATCAATGATAAATTTATCATTGATTTGTTGAATATGTTGTATACTGTTACTGATTTTTTATGTTTATACAATGATGAATTTATCACTGATTTGTCGTTGTAGATGTGAATATGTTGGATGGGTCAATCCATCAGTGATAAATTTATCACTGGAAAGAGAACAAAGAGCATATTGTAAAGGCATGGTTATGTTAATCTACAACACGAAGTCTAACAATTTTCTAGTAAGGCCTTTCCTTTTTCTTTTCCTCTTCATCTTCTCTCTCTCTCTCTCTCTCTCTCTCTCTCTCTCTCTCTTCTTATTTTTCTTCTTCTTCTTCTCCTAGCACCGTCAGATCTTAGGAGATAGTGACAGTAGTGAGCGCTGAAAGTTGCCAGAGGTGATCGTCAGAGGTTGTTGAAGGTTATCACCGGCAGTTGGATGTACTCGTCGATAGCTAGAAGTGGGAGGTGATAGGTCATGGTAGTAATTTGATGATTGGGTTGTTGAATAAGGTGTAGGAAGGGTATTTTGGGAATATTGAGAGGTAAAAAGATGAATAGGACTTACAGGTAAATGAATCTAGTCAATAGGACCGGCCCGTAAGTCCCCCTAAATAGATTTCATTATCTTGATTGAGCTTTGATTATTATTGGGCTAAAATAATTCATCCATTACACAAGTCATAGCCCAACTCAATCTCTTTTGAGACTTTCATCATGGCTTGGTCAAAATTATATATATAATGGCTTTGCATCGAATCAAATCATACGCTTCACAATTTTTGCGGTTTGTCAATTATTTAGAGCATCTTTGGTATGATGGAAAAAAATGAAGTGGAAATAGAATGAGAGTAAAAATGAAATACAATGTTGAATGGAATGAAATATCTATTCCCATTACATTATTTTGTTGCCAATATGGAATGACATAGGAATAAGATGATAATTTAAATTCTTATATTTGGTTATACTTATTAATCTCACACTACAAGAAAAAACACATTTGGCGAATAAACTCAATTTTTAGTCGCCAATAGTCGGTTTTTAAGTTTCCCCGACTAAATTTTTTAGTCGCCGGTTTGGTCGCTGGAAAACGGTCGGGAAAGGTATTGGCGACTAAAAAAATTTTAGTCGCCAAAAAACAAGTCTTTAGCGACCAAAACTTTAGTCGCCAATAGTCAATTATATTTTTTAAATTATACATTTAGTGACTAAATTTTTAGTCGCCAATAGTCAATTATATTTTTTTAAATTATATATTTACCGACCAATATTTTAGTCGCCAATACTCAACGAATCAGCAACCGAACCTTTTAGTTGCCAAAAGCTCATTCATGAAAAAAACAAAATTTACACTCACTAGCTTCCCATTTGCTCTTGTGGAGATTCGAACCATCAACCTCCCCCATCATAAGCCTTATACAACACACTCCTTCCACTACGCCTCTTCCATTATGCCACTATAACACCACATGATTATATATGCAACATATATTATTTATATAGTACATAGACCCGTATTAATATAAATGTATATATATAAAGATAATTATTTTTTATTGAACATAATTTATGAGAAAATAAATTTAATTACTAGGAAAAAAAAAAGACCACTTTTGGCGACTAAACATAATTTTAGTCGCCAATTCTATACTTTTGGCTACTAATTATTTTTTAGTCTTTAAAAAAATTAATTCCCGCGCTAAAATTACCACTTTTGGCGACTAAACTTCTTTTTAGTCGCCAAAAAGCCTCACTTTTGGCTACTAAACATCTTTTTAGTCGCCCAATGCCTCACTTTTGGCTACTAAATTATTTTTAGTTGCCAAAAAGCCTCACTTTGGGCTACTAAATTTTTTTTAGTCGGTAAAAGCCTCACTTTTGACGACCAAACATCTTTTTAGTCGCCTAATGCCTCACTTTTGGCTACCAAATTTTTTTTAGTCGCCAAAAAGCCTTACTTTTGGCTACTAAAATTTTTTTAGTCGCTAAAAGCCATATATCGGCGACCAAATAGATTTTTAGTCGCCAAAACCTATACTTTTGGCTACTAAATTTGTTTAGTGGCAAAAAATCCTCACTTTTGGCTACTAATGCTTTTTTAGTCGCCAAAACCTATACTTTCAACGACCAAAGGTGCCTTTTTGGTTGCCAAATATGCTTTTTGTTGTAGTGTCATGGAATGGAATAAATTTTATTATTTACTTATTTTTTTAACAAGCTAGTAACAAATAAATTAAAAATTTATATAGATAATGGTAATATTAGTAGTTATGAAAGTGATTGTGTAAGTCGTAGTAGTGGTGGCGGTGGCATCGGTGGTGGTGATAGTAAGATGGTGACAGTAGATTGTTGTGACCTTAGTGGTGGTGGTAAGGTGGTGTTCTGGTTGCGATAGTGGTAGTGGGGATGGCGACGACCAACAATAGTAATGGTGGTAGTAGTGGCGACATTGGTAGTACGGTGGTGGTAGTATGATTGTGTGGTGGTTGTTGCGGCTATCGTGGTGGTAGTGGTAGTGGTGGTTGTGGTGGTAATATGGTGGGGTGGCGATAGGGTGGGGGGAGAATGGAATGGTGGTAGTAGTTAAATAATATATATATATATATATATATTTAAGTGCTAACAAAAATATAATAATAAATTTTTATGATAACTCCATGAGAGAATGAAATGATCATTCTTTAGATTGGAGAAAGGAATAGGCATTCTCACATTATGTTAGTATACCATTCCTACTTAAATAAAACGTACCAAATAAGAGAAAGGAAATATAAAATTAGAATGAACCACTACAAGAAAAGAGCACAAATAACACGGAACTTTTTGCAACAGTATAGGTACCGTCGCAAAAAATGGTCTTTTGCGACGGCGTTTTCAAACCGTCTCAAAAAATGGTCTTTTGCGATGGTGGTGACCCCGTCACTAATGAATATATCACAAAAAAAAAATAAAACATTTGCGACGCCTGACGTACCGTTGCAAAAAAAAAAAAAATGAGACCGAAAAATTTACTGTCGCAAAAGTCTTATTAAAATGACGTCGTTTTAACTGTTAGGATTCATCATTTGCAACGGTTTAAGTACGCTGTCGTAAAAAGTAATGAAAATTTTTCTATCCCACTCATTTTAGCCTATTCGCGGTCATGTGTTTCCCCAAAATCCCCAAACCTTTCTGAACCAACCCAAAATCCCTAAAATCTTTAAAACCAAAATCCCCAAAACCATTTTGAAGCAAAATCCCCAAAGCCCTTGAGCCAAAATTCAACAACGGTGACGGACGACGACGGTGATCGACGACGGCTAGCAGTGAGGAAGCAGTGAGTGACGACGGTCATCAACGACGACGACAAGCAGCAGTGAGTGACGACGACAACAACGACGGCGAGCAGCGAATGACGACGGCGACGGCGAGTAACGACTGTATGCCCTTCTCTCGCTCTCTCTCTCTCTAATTACATCCAAAGCCCTCTCATTTTTTTGAATATATTTTTTCTTCATTGTTGTTTGGGGGTGTCATTGGTTTGAAATTGTGCCTAGAGGTGACCATTCTCAAATTTGAAGTGATGAGACCATTTTCAAATTAGTCTTTGATCGTATATCTCCTCCCTTCGGTTTGTTGCATAATTTGGCAGAGCCTTCTGGTTTCTCCTCCTTGATGACATCGTCTTCAAAAATTGTGCACAGTGATGGCCTTAAAAAAAATGACTTGGTGGATCAAATTTATCACTAGATAATTTATTTATTTATTTATTTATTTTTTGCAGATCGGCACAACAAACACCATGTACACACCATATTTACAAAAATATACGCTAATGATCACCCTTGTGATTAGTATTAGTCTTGACATCCGTGCTAAATGTGTATAAAAATATGTAAAAAGTGCTTAGTATTCTAACTATTTTGGTATTGTCTCCACCTTAAAGACAGACTATAGGTTATCATTAGCATGATCTTTTGAAAAATAATAGTGGACCTTATTATTTTCTAGATATGATAGGTCCTATACTTATACATATTGTTCGTTTGAATCCACGTAGGAGGTAAAAAGAAAGGGGGGTAAATATTGATGTATCATTTTCTTAGTCATCAAACCAAGACATACTCTCATCTCTGAGGATGAACTGTCTAGCACAAAATCTGACTCCATTTTCCTTTGGCAGACTTAGCTCTAACAGCATTACACTCGGGTAGGGGCCTCCCCATCAACCATAACCCAGTTGTACCAAATTTGCAGTCATGTGTGCAGAAATTGTTTCTTTAGTCGATTATAAACGTACCTAATTGCCTTAAAATAGCAAGACATATGAAGAGGTGAGTCCTCTGCTTCTTTATTTTATATTGAAGGAAAATAATGGTTGGTCATTTAATGGTTTCATCAAGTCGTAGTTTATGGTTTCATGCTCATATTGAAGGTAAAAAACTCACTACACCTTGTATCTTCCCACTGATATCTATTAGTGTCAAATCAACAAAAGATGAATGCTTGAAGCTCAATGTTTTATGGACGCCTCTTTTGATCACCTCAAGTCATGTTTTACTCATTGATACTTGCAGGACTCATAGAGTAACTGTAACGAATATATATTCACTGGCTGGAATAATAAGTGCCATTTCCTTTTGTTAAAATAAAAGGTCTCACATTTGTATTTGACTTGTTTCATTGTTCTAATAATTTTGTACTTGCTTTAAAGTAGTGTCACATATTCGCGGCTTGATGGATCAGTTGAACCAGAAAAGCGTTTTGATATTGTAAAGGTTTTCAATTCAGACCCTACTATTGATGTACTACAGCTCACTACACATGGTAAGATTTTATTATATACAGCATACAGTCTTGGGTTAAGAATTTCACTAACCTATAAATTCTCCTTCGATTCTTCATTTGCTAGGCCATTCTAAAAAATTCTCTCCTCTTACCTCTATTCAAATAGGAACTCTCTCTCTCTCTCTCTCTCTCTCTCTCTCTCAACATATTATCTAGCAGCAAAATGGTGTTACCAACTTATGGGAGTATACAAAGAAAAAATTAATAAAAATTTGGACAGAAATATCAAATTGAAATTAGATTTAAAGTGTAGGGATTGAATTGTTCAAATTAAAACTATGGAGATGAAAGTGAATTTTGAGTCAAACTATAAGGGTGAAAAGTGTAACTGACCCATATTTATTTTTCTGTCCTATATTTTGGGGGGCTCTGTTTCATTGTGGTCATAATGAATGACTAGTGGCGGGTGCACATGCTATGTCTGCACGATACACGTGTGCAACTTTATATCTAGTTTCTTGGATGGTTGGTTAAAGCTAAGGTTGTTGCTGAAAAATTGCATTCATGATTGCATTCATGTTGGTTGAAGCTAGGCTATGTTAGGTGCATTTGGTGAAGGCTAGGCTATGTTAGGTTCAATTAATAATGTATAAAATAAAGAGTAATGTTGAATATTGGGTAACATGGGTCGGGTATTTTTTATTGGATAAAATCACATAGTAATAAACTATTCAAACTTCAATGCATGATTATCATCAATGGTTCAATTTACTATATAATCCAACTTGGTAAATACAATGTTTAAAATGAGGAAAGAGGACAGAAAGTTATTGGGACAAAGGCCAAAATAACTTATTCCCACATCATGAAATGCCAATACTAGCTTGGTAGTAGTAGCAGGTGACACCATCCGTCTCTCCTTTTGGTCAACACATGATAACATCTCCAGTAAAAGGATTTCATGTGTTTTGATGTAAAAATTGTGCAAGGGGAACAAGTTTTGCCATCAATTATACACATGCTAAAAACTAATCCTCAGCATACATGATACACATGTTGTGTTCTATATGTTGGTTCACTTATTTTGAAGTATTCATGTGAAGCAGAAATTTGATTTCAGGGCCTTGTTTCTACTACCAAGGTTTCAATGATTATGTCATATACTTGTCCATGATATTGGAACTCTTTCTTCTATCATAAAATTATGATTTTTGTGAATCATTTTTTTTGCTACTCGTTTTCTGCAGCCTCTGTATTAGCATGGTTCACTTCAAATGTAAATAACTTTTTGTTAAGACAACCATTGTTTTGCAGGATTCTCGTGTCAGAATTTGCCAAATGAAAAGTTTTCTGACGATGATATTCCCAGTGCACCTCTATTTTGTGGTTCTTCTAGGGAAATCAAGGAAGATGCTGAACAACTTCCAACTTCTAGAGCACAATACAAACCTTATGTACCATATTTACATGATTTTTTAGCTAAAAATGGCCCAGATGCTTCTGATAGCAGTTCTCCTCAGGTGAAACCAGAGGATAATACTGAAAAAAAGATTCCTGACCAGCATGTGAGGTTTGTAAAATGTTTTACTGTACTTTTGCAGAAACCTTGTGTAATAATGCTTGTGAGATATGCCATGTTTGTATGCTTTCACTACCACATCTATTTATCTTATATATATATATATATAGTATCATATAAAGCGCACAACTCGGTGTGATTTATGTTACACATTTTTTGATACCCAAATTGCCCATATATAACTGCTCAAGTTTCTTATTTCAAAATTTAATTTAATTTTTTTTATATTTTTATTCTCCATCTACATTCGAATTTCCTTTCCGATTTGACGGTTACAATGTCTTATATTTCTACACGCACATTGCATGTGCTCAACTTCTAGTTATTATAATTTGGATGAAGATGTTATGTTTGTTTCACAGGAGTGCTTCTGGTATAGAAAGTGGTGCACCCTCAGGTTTAGTCCCTGCACGCCTTCCAACTTTTCATGCCAGGTATTTCTTGCTGACTATAGATGGAGATAAGCTTAAATATGTTTGCCTTTTGCATATGCATTGTTTATTATTTTGATTTTCAGCTGTACTTATATGCTCTATTAATCAAATTCAACACTCAAGGGCCATGGCACGCTGTGATCACGTATGACGCTTGTGTTCGGTTGTGCCTTCATGCTTGGACGAAGCAATGCATGGAAGCTCCCATGTTTTTGGAAAATGAATGTGCTCTGTTGCGAGACACATTTACATGACTTTTTCTACTGTGCCATCATTTGTATTAGGCCTTCTGTTGCATTTTTCCACTGGAAATATACTTGTTAAAGCACTACTTAAAAAAAAAAAAAAAAAAAGCATTACAATAATTTTAATCTTAAGTTCTTACTTGAAGAGAACTGCCGTTTGAAGTAATTTGATGAACCTGTCAGAACCAAAAGCTAAATAATTATATTAAGCTACAAGGAGAAAGCAAAAATGGACAATATTTGTGGAATATATTTTGAAGTTACCAAGATTGCAACACTTATGGGGAAAAAATTGTGCTCAATGAGATCTGTTGGAGTATAAAACATTTTCTATTTGCGTCGCCTCAATTATATCCTAAATAGGGTATGTTTGCTTGTTAGCAAATGTTGTGTTATAGAAAATATTTTTTTTACTTTAAATCCAAAGGTGTAAATTCTTTGAACTAATGTCACAGACTAGTTAAATTCATCAAAACTTATCAGTGCTCATTAAAGTTCCAATTTCATGTGAACATGTTTCAGCAATGAAATGCTAAAATATAATGTTTTCTTTGTTAGTGTATGTGCTTTTTGATCTTGAAAATAAATGTGTATGATTGCTATAGTGAGGGGGACAATCTATGAAATTTTTAAAAATTGTATGATGAGGGGGATAACATCAATAAATTTAAAATTATTTCAACTCTAGTCCTTTAATGTCCTTTTGGAGTCTGGATTTCATTCAAGACAAACTAGTTCCTTAAGAAACTTAAATTGGAGGTGCTGACGCTCCAAAATCACCAAACGGGATCGGATTAGCACGAAATTTGGCACACACGACTGCCTAGGCACGAGAGACTTGTGGGAGAAAACAGGGCTCGAATCGGGTTCCCGGATTGAGAGTTAGAGCCGAATTTTACTCTACACAAACTAGTTCCTTAAGAAACTTGAATTTGAGGTGTTGGCGCCCCAAAATACCAAACGACGTCGGTTTAGCCCGAGACTTGGCACACATGACCACCTAGGCACGAGAGACTTGTGGAAGAAGATAGGACTTCAATCGGGTTCCCGGTTTGGGAGTTAGAGACGGATTTCACTCTAGGCAAACTAGTTCCTTAAGAAACTTGAATTGGAGGTGTTGACGCACCAAAATCACCAAACGGCAACGATTTAGCATGAAACTTAGCACACAAGACAGCCTAATCACGAAAGACTTGTGGGAGAAGACGGGATTCCAATCGGGTTCTCGGTTTGGGAGTTAGAGCCGGATTTCACTCTAGGCAAACTAGTTCCTTAAGAAACTTGAATTGGAGGTGTTGACGCCCCAAAATTGCCAAACGGCCTCGGTTTGGCACGAAACTTGGCACGCACGACTGCCTAAGCACGAGAGATTTGTGGGAGAAGACAAGACTTCAATCGGGTTCCCGGTTTGGAAGTTAGAGCCGGATTTCACTCTAGGCAAACTAGTTCTTTAAAATACTTGAATTGGAGGTGTTGACGCCCTAAAATCGCCAAACGGCGTCGGTCTGGCACGAAACTTGGCACACACAACCGCCTAGGCACGAGAGACTTGTGGGAGAAGACGAGACTCCAATCGGGTTCCCAGTTTGGGAGTTAAAACCGGATTTCGCTCTAGGCAAACTAGTTCCTAAAGAAATTTGAATTCGAGGTGTTGACGGCCCAAAATCACCAAACGGGGTCGGTTTAGCACAAAACTTAGCACACACGACCGTCTAGGCACGAGAGACTTGTGGGAGAAGACGGGACTCCAATTGGGTTCCCGATTTGGGAGTTAGTGCCGAATTTCATTCTAGGCAAATTAGTTCATTAAGAAATTAGAATTGGAGGTGTTAACGCCTCAAAATCTCCAAACGACGTCGGATTAGCACGAAACTTGGCACACACGACCACCTAGGCACAAGAGACTTGTGGGAGAAGACGGGACTCCAATCGAGTTCTCGGTTTGGGAGTTAGAGCCGGATTTCAGTCTAGGCAAACTAGTTTATTATGAAATTTGAATTGGAGGTGTTGACGCCCCAAAATCTCCAAACGGCGTCGATTTAGCACAAAACTTGGCACACACGACCGCCTAGGCGCGAGAGACTTGTGGGAGAAGACGGGACTCCAATCGGGTTCCCAGTTTGGGAGTTATAGCTAGATTTCGGTCTAGGCAAACTAGTTCCTTAAGAAATTTGAATTCGAGGTGTTGACGCACCAAAATCACCAAATGGCGTCGGTTTACCATGAAACTTAGCACACACGATGGCCTAGGCACGAGAGAGTTGTGGGAGAATACAGGACTCGAATCGGGTTCCCGGATTGGGAGTTAGAGTCGGATTTCACTTTAGGCAAACTAATTCCTTAAGAAACTTGAATTCGAGGTTTTAACGCCCCAAAATCACCAAACGACGTCGGTTTAGCACCAAACTTGGCACATGTGACCGCTTAGGCACGAGAGACTTGTGGGAGAAGACAAGGCTCGAATTGGGTTCCCGGTTTGGGAGTTAGAGTCAGATTTCGGTCTAGGCAAACTAGTTCCTTAAGAAACTTGTATTCGAGGTGTTGACGGCCAAAATACCAAACGGCGTCGGTTTAGCACCAAAGTTGGCACACACGACCGCCTAGGCACAAGAGACTTGTGGGAGAAGACGGGACTCCAATCGGGTTCGCGGTTTGGGAGTTAGAGGCGGATTTCGGTCTAGGCAAACTAGTTCCTTAAGAAACTTGAATTCGAGGTGTTGACCCCCCAAAATTACCAAACAACGTCGGTTTAGCATGAAACTTGGCACACACAACTGCCTAGGCACGAGAGAATTGTGGGAGAAGACAGGACTTCAATCGGGTTTCCGATTTGGGAGTTAGGGCCGGATTTCTGTCTAACCAAAATTATTTACTAAACTATCTTTGTAATTATATAGTAGTTAATTTTTTATGTTTTTCTGGAATTACAATATTAACACCATTATATTGTCATTAATTATTTTTATTTTGTTATTTTCAGATATTCCTAAGTAGCAGTTTGCTTCTTGTGGAATGCGGGCGTGTAAAGATTATGACCAGCTTTTGTTTTTGTAACCTACGGAAGAATCATAACGAAAACTTTTGGTTTTGATTTACGTTATTTAGATTTGTGAACAACATTATGTATGTATTATGCGACATTATGTAGTGTGATAATTTTTATTGTTATGAATTTTTATTTTTATATTGTTATGAATGAAACAACATTATGAATTTTCATTATGTGCCAACTTTTGTTTATGTATGTATTTATATTATAATGTAATTATCATTTTTCGTTTAATACAGGTTATTTTCATATTTTTAATAATTTTAATACAGTTTTTTTTTTTTTTTTTTTTTTTTTTTTTTTTTTTTTTTTTGGAGACGGCACCACACACATCGTCTAAAAAAGAAAATAGAACTAGGGTTTTTTGCGACGGCAATAATGCTGTGGCAAAAGATAGGAGAATTGGTTGAAAAGGAAGACCTTTAGCGACGGAGTTATTGCCGTCGCCAATAGTCATTTAGCGACAGCATCAGGTGCTGTATCAAATAACCCTTTAGCGACGGTATTTTTGCCGTCGCAAATAACCCTTTTAGCGACGGCAACACAATGCCATCTAAAAAAAACTCAGATTTTCATGCGTTATTCGCGACAGAATTTTTTCGTCGCAAAAAGGCATTTTGCGGTCGCAAAAAAAAGGCGACAGCGTTATGCCGTCACTAAAATCTTTTTGCAATCCCTTTGTTGCGACCCCCACTTGCCGTCGCCAAAAGTCACTTACCATCGCAAAAAACCTTTTGAGACGACGTTTTGAGTATTTGCGACGGCATTTTACCGTCGCGAAAAAGTAATTTTTTTGTAGTGAACATTCTATTTCAACCCATATCATCGTACAAAAGGTGCATTTTTCATATTCCTCTTCAGAAATTTTTCATTTATATGCAGTCAAAATTTAATAAAGTCAACTATTAAAACGACGAAGAATAGAAAAGAAAATAAAACAAAAATAAAAACTTTCTTGGCTCCGACACACCCTTAATTGCAGTCCACAATAGTGCTTCTGTTTTCATACCAAAAATAAAAATCAAAACCAAAAACTAAGGTATTATTGGAGAGAGAAGCTTTATATGATGTGATGCTAATGCATTTATTTTATCTTGTCAATTCTTGAAACAATGCTAGTAATGTAAGCCAATTTTTAATTTAGTTTTATTTTTTTAGTTTGTATAGACAGGGAAATTGATGATGATAGGACTTCGATATCTCCATAAATTTGAATGAGTCCATTTTGTTTGACTTGAGGCTTTTCAAGTATTGCATGGTGGTTTAGCTAGCAATTTGGTAGGACTTATTTTCCTGTCAAACTGATATCTTTCATTCTCTGCTGATTGCATGCCATCAGTAATATTATTTTTTTCCAATGAAAAAGAAAAAAAAAATAAAAAATGAAAGCTTTCATAATCTGATAAACGAGTAGTAGGGTTGTGTAAATTTAGTTTATTTTTTTAGAGTTTAAAGTTTTAAAAAAAATTACCAAAAAAAAAAAAAAAACCAATTGTTGTACAAATTTATAATTAAAATATTAGATTCATGGGGAAATTAAAAAAAAAAAAACTCAGGGTTTAACCGTTGTAACAAAAT